CAGGGATAAGAAGCATGGTGCCACGACACCTGCCCAGAACTCCCAGTCCGCAGCCCAGGCCGACAGTGCCAACAGTGAGTGCCCCGCAGCCTCTGCCTTCCAGGGATGATTGGCCATGCGGTCTACACTACTATACAGTACGATAGGAAAAGTTATTTTCAGCAATGGATTTCATCAGGGACACATTCTTTACATCCCTCAGTGTACTAAGAATCTTCCTAAAGGCCTTATAATCACTATCATCAAGGTATATTGTAAGTATCCATCCTTAAACAGATCAAGGGACCTTGCTAATGAACTTGTTCAAATCTCTTAATGCACATGGATTTGTACTACAACTGTCTCTACCCCCAGGAGCTAGTATATGTGATAGTTCTCTGTATAAATATAGGATCTTCTACACGTGCGTGCGATTATCATCACTGTTTCTACAATTACAACTTCAGACCAAAAAAAAAAAAAAGCTACACACATGTTTAAGATAAACATAAAAAATTAAATGTATTTAAACCATTAACGATAGTGGTGCTGGGAATGACATAATGCCCACTAATTACACAAATGCTAATACAAACTTTACAGAGCAGAATATTATGAATCTATGTAGATCTAAGTCTAAACGCCCAAAGTTACGTTATCACCAAATATCGGAAGCACATTTTCTGGGAAGGAAGTTAAATGAACAGAAAAGGGGTCAGTGGGGCGGTTCGTGAAGAGGGAATAGTTATTGGAAGCCATAATCACGGTGCCACTCATGTGACTAATATCAAGATGCAGTAGCTGTTGTTGACTCCCCAAGAGGCAAATCCATTCTGACTAACTTCCAGTCAACTAAGCCAGCTGAGGTTTCTCTTCTTATCGGTGACTCTCTTGCGCCATCGTGGATTTGGAGAGAAACCTCATCTCCAGCTAAAACAGCTGACTGTCCTCTCTTTATGACCTTAATGTCGGTTCATTTGAATAACACGTGATGTGAAATCTAAAGAAGTAATTTGATGTGATTAGAACACATAATGAGAATCTGATCTATCAGAGACTTTCATATATAATTACTCACACATTTATTCGGTCAACATTGCTTGAGCAGCTGAGAAGCACTGACTGCATGCGCTGCCGTGGTGACTCTGGAAAGCCATGGACAAGGCATGGACATTGCTGCTCCAGTACACACGAGCTTATATTAAAGAAATAGACATGACCTTTCGATTAATAACATCTGATACGTGCTATGAGAGACATCTGAATGGGGAGATGGAGAAGGGCACGATCTGGCTGCACAGGAAATAACCTGGTTTGTTCTGCCTTAACTTTCCTTCTAGATCTATAACTTGTAAGACAGGCTAAGCAACCTCGACTACTCATTGTAAACAGCTTCAATTCGTTAAAATGCCAAAAGAAGACAAGAAAATTTCATCAGTTTGTATGCACAGATGTAAAATGATCCTAGTTTTCAAAACAAGCTATGATTTTGAGATCCGTGTTTACAATTATGAGAGCATTTATTGTGTGAGTAAATTACAGCTTATCATATCATATCATATATTGGGGAGGGGGACAACACCAGCTATAGTGGGAAAAAAATGTATTTAGAGTCAGATAAAGCTAGTTTTGAATCCCGGCCCTGCCACTGACAAGCTACATGTCTTCATGACGTTTAGCTTATTTGAGCCCCAGTTTCCTCACCTGTAGAAGAGAAACAATCATATTTCATGACGTTTAGCTTATTTGAGCCCCAGTTTCCTAGAGAAACAATCATACCTATCTCACAGCTTGTGTGTATAGTGGGAAAATCTATACGAAATGTTAGGCAAACGTGTGTTGGTTTGTAGTGACCCCTGGTTGGTCCTGATCTCTCTGTAGCCATTCTCTACCTAATGATGTTCAGGAGAAAGACATCACTGTCGAGTTCTGTGCTGTAAATAGTGTCATTTGCTTAAACCTACAGGGAGATTACGACATCGAAAACCAGCCTGATTTAAGAGGGTAAAAGGATTTCTCAGAACTCTTATAGTTGATTTTTTCCTCTCTCATTTTTTTTTTTTTTTAACGTATAAGGAACTGGAACTTGGAAGAGTCACTGCAGAAGACATCACAGAGCAGAGGAGAACAAAGAATGGGACTGGAGGGAAGCCACACTGTACAGGGAGGGAAAAGGAAGCTGCTTCTGATTACAGGAAGTCGCTTGGAAAGACTAAAAGCAGATGAGACCATTCCCACTAAGCAAAGAGCTAGCGCAGCCCACCTATGCGGGGAACTGGGCAAGTGACAGCCACGGGCTGCGAGCAGGTGTCCAAGGACCTGAGGCCCGGGCTTGGTGGCGTCGATCCATTATCACTACTGCCCAGGTCTGGCACGATCCCCTGTAGAATTTTTGCCTCGCCCACAGCTTTATACGTAGTCCCTTTCCTAGACTCTACTTAAATTATCTGAATTTCCAGTGCCATCTGTTTTCTGCTGGGAACACTGATTTTACAGATGTTAATATCGTAATGTAGACGATCATACCTACCTAGGAAGATTATGGAAACCAGCTGCTTGTATTAAACCATGAGATAACAAGGAAAACGGAATTATTTTGGAAAATAGACACACATGCCAGAATACCCTAGTTTCTTGAGGACTGAGTTCTGACAAATATGCCAGAACTTTCCAACTGGGAAAAAAAGTCATGCTCATTTTCAGATGAAAAGTTAAAATCCCTTTTCTAAAAAAATTATCAAACAGCTTCTCTTTCTGATCCCTTCCCAAATAATTCAAAGCGAAGGTGCTTAGGTGGGGCTGAGTTTTTAGTCAGGTGTCTTTGGGTGGAAGGTGTGAAGCAAAGCCCAGCGTGGGATCTGGAGCCTGAGCAGAGTAAGGAGCGTGTCTGCCTGGGGCTGTCCAGTACAGAGGGCTAGAGCCCAGTCGGGTGTTGGAGGCACCCCAAGGGAAGGGCAGCCTGCCGTGGGGTGTCGGAGCCTGAGTGGGCACTGGAAATCATTCTGTGGGACTATGACCCTGCAGGGTTGTTGGAGCCTGAGCAGGGTCCAGGGAGCATGTACTTAGGGGATGCCAGAACCCAAGAAGGGTGAGGAAGCAAACTGATAGATCAGGGGGTGTCCCAGCACAGTGTCAGAGCCTGGGAGGGCTGGAGAAGCTCTCTCTCTGCATAGCGGGAGAGGGTGGCCCAATGCAGGGTCTCAGAGCCTGGGCGGGGTGAAGGAGGCAGGCGTGCAGGGGGTCAGCAGCAGCAGTAGCCCAGCCTGGGAGACTGGAGCCCAGGTGAGGTGAGGAGGGCACTTGTGCAGCGGAGAGGGGCAGCAATGGTGGCAGACAGGTATGTCAGAGCCTGGGCCAGGCGAGGAGGATGCCCACAAGGGATCAGGATTTGGAAGTGACAGTGACCCAGTGGAGGGTCTGAGAGCTCAAGCAGAGTGAGCAGGTGATCTCTGCAACTGTTGAGGGGGGTGGCAGCTGTGACAGGAGATTGGTTACAGACAGAGGCAATGATGAAATAAGTAAATGCATTAAGAACAATGGAGTCAGGATTCTCACTATTAAAAAAGTGAGTTCGAAATATCAAAAAGGAGAAAACCAGTATTGGAACTGGAGGTATCGATGTAATCTCATGATTTTTCATGTATAACTAGATACATACAGACATGAGTAAGTTGTAAAAGTGTCTACATGCATATCTAGGGTGTGTGCATATACTCCTTAGTTCTGAACCCAGAAAGGGCTTAAGAGCAGCAGCATTCAGTAGTGGTGATCACATATAGCACCCACATCCTGGTTTCTAAATGCTATTTTCCGGTAAAAGGAGTCAGAGTTCATTGGAGAAATGGCCGATTTCAGGGCTGGGACAGGGAAAGTACAAAATGAACCTGGAGCACCTTTCTCGAATGTAAAGAAATGCTCAAAACAGATGGAGGCACATCGAGGGGACACGTAAAGCAGCTTAAAAGGGCTCCCGCCGGTCAAATCACAGATATCTAGAGCACCAAAGAAAAAAAATTAGGAGAAATGGATTACGACTTATGGAATAAAAGCAGAACCCAAGTGTCTCTACTGACGTAATAATATCAATGAACAAATTGAAAGTTTGATGAGTAATGAGATATTTACATAGTTTCATACGTAATACCTCCGTCCAAAACACTCATTAACTACAAAGGAAAAAAGGAATATTTTTACAGTGAAGAAGGCTGGCAAGTCCAGTTAATCAAGTGGCCAAAGTTAACATCACCTGTAATATAGGACAGGTGGAAATTATGTGTGCTCTGACAGAAAACAAGGTCACAGCATCACTTGCTTCAATGGTACTCCAGCCAAAGGTGTACCCTGTGGGTCTAGCAATGAAGAAACAGCAGACAAACCCAAATCAAGGGACGTTCCACAACCTCACTGGCCTGTAATCTTGCAAACATGTCAAGGTCATGAAAGTCAAAGGAAGACTGGGGAATTGTTCTAGAAACTAATGAGATGTAATATCTAAAAAACAACAAGAAATTGCATCTTTTAGCTATTATTACGATACTTGGAGAAACTTAAGTGGGGTCTGAGGATCAGATGGTAGTAACGTACCAGTGTTAACTTCTGGTTTTCATAGTTTTCGTGATTATACAGGAGAATGTTCCTGTTTATAGAAAACGAACACGATTATTTGAGGCTGATGGGACATCATGTTGGCAAATGACTTTTAATGATTCAGATGAAAGGAAAAAGGAAATTATTTATGCTGTACTTGCCACTCTTACTTAAACCTGATATTGTTTAGAAATTATTCCGGAAAAGTTATCAAAAGGTTTCATCAATCTAGCACTAAGCCTCTACCCTTCAGTCATTTTGACAACACAAACTTGGTGCCAAATGACTCTTCTTGCCTCCTACGGCTCCTTCAGCAAAGAGAACTTAGACCTCTTCTTAGGAAGATAAATCTGAGTCATATAATTTGTAGAGTAACTGATGGCAACATGATAATCTCAGTGAGATTTCTGTCTTTCTTTCTTTTTTTTTTTTAGCTTACTGCTTCCACTAAGAAATGAAACTTAAAATATTCTGCTGTGACCTTTTTGCCTGAGAGGAGAGTTTAATTACCTGCCCAGTTTACATAAATTATGTCGCCTGTTTGTCTAAAATTGAATCCTGGGTAGAGATCAATATGGCCTCAGAAACACCAGAGCAAATGACTTCTCAAATGCCATCAAAGGTCACTGGAACCTTTCCTGTTTGGATGGGGACACATTCTGTTCGACAACCTGGAACATGTCACTGGCCTGCTGCCTGCTGCCCTGGGTTCCAACCACAAGAGCATGATTGATCATCAGTTAGAGGACGCAGGGGACGAACTCCCTCAGGAATCGGCTGTATGGAATTAACTGAATACCACGATGAGTCTGATTCATCACAAAGAATGAGGAAAATGGCACAGAACACACCCAGAGCTTGATGCATGAGGCCTCTCGGAGGTAAACTGCAATTTATACTCAGGATCCTGATGGTTACAGACTGTGCACGTGCTATTCGGTTGCAGTTCCACACAATTATCCAGGGGAAAAAAGTGTCTTTAGATCTTTCCTTCGTTCTACTATTCTTCCTTTCAGGAAGGAGATACTGGTGAGGGCCAGGTATGTGTGTGACTTTATTCAAATTATTACATTATAAAATATTTCATAGTTGAGGTGCAAATAAAGTATACTTATAGGGATCGCAGACAGAGATAGAGTCTTCCTCTGGGAGATCCAGAGAAAGCTTCGTAGAGGGTATAATATTTAATTAACTGGACAAAGAGTTATCGTTATAGTAAATATTTGGAAAACGAAGGCACGAGGATATAGCAAGAGCAATGTCACAGAAATTGTGCAAATCTGAAGCCCAGCAATGACTTCGATATGACCTGAACATCAGGGTAAAGATATTGAAAAGAGAGGACGGCTTGTGGGTGCTGAAGTCAGGCCCTCTGTGAGCATGTGCGTTTTGTCAGCATAAAGCCAGAGGGAAAAGAACCAACCGAGAAGAAACAGAGACACGTGGCAAAACTCATGGAATTAAAGACAAAAAAAAGGAGGGATCCCATTAGGAGAGTGATGAAGACGATCAAAAGGTAGAGAGAGGTCAAGAAGAACAGACCCAAGAAACACCACTGATAATGTCATTGCAAGAGCAATCTCAGCCTAGCGTGTCCAATCTCGAGGGAAAAAAAGAAACTCTAGCGAAAGTCAATGCCGTAGGTGTGGATTGAGCTTCCTCACAGTTCAGTGGTAAATGGAGATAGAATGAAGGTAAATACAGCAGTGAAAATAGAAATAAGGAAAAGTAGATGGGGGGGGGCGGTGATTTTATCATAAAAAGCAAAACACTGTGGTAGGCAGAAGGGTTGAGTGCAAGAAAATGAGAGACGGATGCTATAAAAAAAACGGCAGATAATTGTTATATCACGTTTTCTTGGAGCGGGGGCAGTAAGAGGACATGGAATTGAGAGTTCGGGTATAAGAATATCTTCTTCCAGCAGAAGAAGGAAGGGAAAACTAAGAAAGTTTAAGATAGGTATGAAATATGTCAGGTCTCTTAAGGCTTAGAAAGCTCTTCCCCAAAGACAGAAACAAAGACAGACAATACTAAATTATTCAGGGCCTAAGCTTCAAAGTCTGAAGAACATCAAGGGCCACAGGCATGTTGGAGCTCAGCGGCACGGGATAGCTGCCTGGATCCTTGCAATATAAATAAGATTCCCACAGAATAGGGCAAGGAACACAGTGCATAGACCTTGAGGTGCTACATAAAAAGCAACTTTGCCGCTCATACAGGAAAGTCCCTTGAACGCTTTAAGGTTTATCCACATGATAAGAATGACTAAATCAAGGAGTGACTGTGGTCTTCGACTGAATTAGACAACCCGGAATACAGTCCAGATTTTGCCACTAATCCTCGGGTGATCCAGCCAAGTCACTTTTTCCCTCTGCTTCTCCATTTCCCTCCTTTACAACATGGATAATAGGCTTAGTGAATCTTGTAAGCTTTCCTAGTTCAGAATGAACGTGCAGTAAGGCCTTTCAGAGTTGACAGTGTTTTCTTGCGTCTGGCTTCATGAAGCAAGGGCCCCAGGTGAGTGTTGAGCAGTAAGGCATCCTCAGACACTGACACATGGAAGACAGACTACACATCTTTCGTGAAAAGCATTTCGAACAGGTTCCGAGAGCCTTAAGTAAATTTATGCTGAAGGAAAGACCGGAAACCTAGGTGTCTTTAGAGAACTACATAGAGTTGACCCTTGAACAATGTGGGTTTGAACTGCGTGCGTCTACTTATAGGGAGATTTTTTTCAATACATACAGTAAATGTATTTTCTTTTCCTTATGATTTTCTTAATAACATTCTCTTTTCCCTTGTTTACTATACTGTAAGGATACAGAATATTATGTACATATAACATACAAAATATGTTAATTGACTGTTTATGTTATTGGTCAACAGTGGGCTATTTGTACAGTTGGGCCTCCGCATCCACAGATTACCAGCTGCGGATCAAAAATACTATTTTCAAACTGCAGTTGGTTGAATTCACGGATCGGAAACCCGCACATATGAAGGGCCGACGGCAGTTAGGATTTTTGGGGAGTCAAAGCACCCCTAACCCTGGCATTGCTCAAGGGTCGACTATATAATTATATATAATAGAGAAAATTAAAAGCAATCAAAATGTCTCAATTCAATGGGAATATTAAATGCAATGAATATATGCTGTCATTAAAAATAGGCTTTTAAAGTTTAGTTAACATAATGGATATTGAGGAGTCATTAAAATGTTTGGTTAATTGTTTAAGATAATGGAAATAGGCCAAAGCTTCCAGCTTTCAAAAATGCCAGTGCCTCCCAATACTCTCTGGTATTTTTCCCTAGTTTCTATCACCACCTGAAATCTGCATATTTTACTTATCATGTTTATTTTTGTCTCTCCAAACTGGGAAATGAGCTCCATGAGGGTCATAATAATTTTTTTCTCTTTTGTTCCCTGCCTAAGCCTCATTTCCTAGAGAAGTACTTGGCAGATAGTAGGCATTCATCAAATATTTGTTGAATGAATAAATTTAATGTCAAGTGAAAAAGCAGATAAAATTAGATACAGAGAATGATGATTCTAATTTTATAAAGCTAAATATAAATGTGTACGTGAGTCTGAGTATGTCTTGGATATTTATTGTAAAAATATTTCATCTTGAAATGAAAAAGTATGAAAAAAGACAAAATAGCCACTCATTTTTAAAAACAGGTGATTTGGCATCAAATTCAATATGATTATCAGTGAGATTTAGCTGTGCGTGTGCGCGTGTGATAATATTGCGTTGATACTTCTTGGTCCCTTCATTCAATTCTGTGGCAGTCCTGAATATTTCTGATACTCCCCACCTCCATTGCTTCTTCTGTGATCTAAGCTTCCACCATCATCTCTCACTTAAACTGACACAAAGTCGGCTGGTCTGTCTGATCACTCTTGATCCTACAATCCATTTTTCAAACAGCTTCTACAGTTTAAAACTAAAAAATTAATCCCACTATTCCCCTATGAAAAAACCCTCAACAGCTTTCCTTCTCACTCAGAATAAAATCCAAATTCCTTACTAACAATGGCCTAAGACTCTGGCCAACTTCCCCAAACTAATCTCTTGCCAAGCTGCCCCACAGTCACCTCACTTTACTACATTTTTCTCTTGTCCTCAAAACTCAAAAACTTGGGCTTCTCTCAAACTTTTGTACCAGACTTACCTCTTCCTGAAATGCCCCTCCCCCAGATTATGTCAAGCTGGCTGCTTCTCATTCTCCAGGTCTCTGTTTAACATCACTTTTTAGAGAGCCCTGTGGGACCACCATCCACTCCAATTCCACACGATTCGCTTTCCTTCTATTGCCTTGCTCCGCTGAAGTTAAAACATTTATCCTTGTCTCAAATTATCTTGTCCATTCACTTATACATTTATTGCATGTATCCATCTTCTTCCCTACAAAGTAAGCTTTTTGAGAGCAGGAAGCTTGTCTTCCTTCTTCTCTATGTTCCCAAGATCAAGCACAATCCTGGACACATGGAGCTACTCAACAACTACCTTCTCAGTGACTGAATGAATGATTCTGACCTTGGCACATATCTGCTCCAAAGTGTGGTACTTCTCCTACTCCATTCTTGGGATCTTTCATTCTGGTTCTTCTATCTTTGACCTTACTTTTGTAAGACTTTGAGCCAAGACGTGGACTTCAAATGATAAAAGTATGAGTAAAGATATAAGCAGAGAACATGCTAGGATGAGGACATGTGTGAGAAAAGGGACAGAGAGAGGTAAGGGATTTGATGGTGTTCATTAAAAGCTGTTGTGAAGTCCGCAGTGGTCATACTCATCAGAACTCTTTTCTTTATGAGACAGAGAGCCAAACCGAACTGCTGTAAGCAAAACAAACAAAAAACAATTTTTGAGAAAGAATTTATTCATGTTACAGGAAAATTTAAGAGTACGCTGGCTTCAGGCATTGGTGTATCGAGGTGATCAGAGAATGTTATCAGAAACGCATTTCTTGAACCCTTCATCTCTGTTCCTTCTGCACTGGCATTTTTCCAAGCAATCTCTTCTTGAGTAGAAGTGACTACCAACAATTTCAGCTTAAAACATAATAGCTTAGCAATATCAGTAAAGAGATATCCCTTCTTTCCCAATAACTATAGCAAAAATTTCAGAAGGTCTTTGCTAGCCAGCTGTATTAGTTGGCTATTGCTTCAAAGAAAACTACCCTAAAACTCATTATTTAAGATAGTGATCATTCATTCTTGCTCTTGAGTCTGCAGGTTGGACTGCTGGTTCTGTGAGTCTCAGCTGGGCTCACTGATGCACCAGCTGTGGGACAGTTGGCTCTGCTGTCTCGTCCGGGCTCTCTACATGTTTGTGCGATGGCAGTCTGGCTGTTCCAGAGTAACTGTAACCGGAAAAACTGGGCTCTCCTCTATGTGTCCCTTATCCTCCAGCAGCTTAGCCCAGACGTCCCGCATGGCAGTGGCGCAGTTTTATGACACAGGGTGGAAAGCGACATGGCAACTTGAAGTCTAGACTGAGAATTAGCACGACACGATCACTGCTACATTCTATCGGCTGCGCCCAGTCACGAGGCCCATTCATATTGAAAGAACTGGGAGGAACTTAATAAAAAGAGCTGCAAAGTCACGTTGCAAACAGCATGGATAGAGGGAAGGTGGAAACCGAGATGATTTTTGCAATCCATCTCATACTGGACTTGGGTCAAGGGCCCATCAGTAAACGTCAGGCCACACCAAGTGTGGACAGAAAGCTTAGGAGTGATGGCTTCTAAGGGAAAAGTGAAGTGATGTTCCCATAAGAAGTGATGATTAGCAAGCAAATCCAGCCATTTCCACTACATGGATGTACAAGCAGGAAGTCAGTTTATCATAGTGATTTAGAGCATAAGGTTTTGATTCAGGCTGTTGATGTTGGAATCGTAACACTGCCACTTACTCGGTGTGTTTAACACATTACTTCACCTCCCATATCCCAATTTTCCCATCTGTAGAATAGAAATAATCACAGTTCTTCCCTCACAGAATTCTTTCGAGGATCAAATGAGACCATGCAAGTCAACTGCTTAAAGGAGAAACCGGCACTTTGCAGAGTTCACTGCTGTTTTTCATTTGTATTATTCTTTGGCAATAGTGAGGTTTTAAATAATTATGACGAAAAGAGAGACATGTCAGGAACATCATTTAAAGGAAAGAAGCTTGACTTTCTTTCTAACGATGGAGTGAGATTTCTCCCTTTCATCTCCACTATATTTGCCCCACTGAATTCAGTGTCTAGTATCACGTTAGAGCTGCAGGGGAAAACATTCTTCCATAAAGAAATCTAGGTAAATTTCAGGCTTAAGAAAACAAAAGCGATAAGTATAAGCCTGTGGCAAGGGCACAAAGCTGTGTTAGCATGGTTCCAGGGTAATACTGCAGCCCACCATCAATTATTAAACTGGGTCAATATTTGTGGCCCGGAAAAGCGTTTTAGCATATATTATTTATGCAGATGGCTGTAATAGGTACTCCATCCTTGAATATGGAGCTTCAAGAGTGGAATACTATTAATGAAAAAAGTACTTGGCCCAGGAAATAGGAAATCTCCCTTTCCAGAAAAATGTCAAAATGCGATTCTCGCTCCCTCTCTCTCTCCACTATCTTATTTCTCCACAAGAAACGAATTTCTAATAAATCTATAATTACTGTGCTTCTCCAAGTCAGATATTATGCTGGGTGCTGTAGAGAAGGTAAAGAAGGTTCTAGGAAAAATAAATATTGATTCTGGCCCTCAAAAAGCGTACAGTCTGGTTTGAGTAAATATAATTTCAAGTTTGAAGCAGGGGAGAAAAGGTCTATATTATCAAAGGCTGTAACGTGGGATAGAGACAGATGTTTACAAAGTTAAGTTCAGGTCAGAGGTGATCAGCATGAGCTAAAAACTCCTGATGGGCATATAGTAGGTGGCATTTCCCTCTGAATTTGAAAGATGGCCAGATGGGAGGGGCAAGGAGAGGAGGTCAGAGGTTGCCTTCTGGAGTTGGCAAGTCTACGAAGAAAACAGCACAGAG